GTACGATCATGTCATCATGGACAGTGGTTGTACAAACACCACCATTTGTAATGGTGAGCTTATGCATGGACTCCGTCATGCTGAGAAAGAACTTGACATGCACACTAACGTGGGCAGCAGAGTTCTCGATGAAGAAGGTTTTCTAGGAAGATTTCCACCTCCAGTTTATCACGATGAAGATGGAATTGCCAATGTACTTGCTATGCGCGAGATGATTGCTGCGGGATACCGCATTACTATGGATACTGATGCTGACAATGCTTTTATTGTGCATTGTGATGGAAACAGAAAGATGCGATTTGTTAATCGTAAGGGTGTGTATGTGTTGGAACAACTTGGAGCGAATGTCGAACCAGGTGCCAAAGAGACAAGTGCGATGTACCGTCGCCAGTTAAACAACTTAAATAATCAACCCCATTTCGAACTTTCTCCAAACAAACAGAATGGATATGCTGGACTCGAGATGACCTCCAAGATGGCAACCGTTCGAAAGAACAAGGAAGGATTCACTCCAAGATAAGTCAAGGCTGCGATGGATGCCAGTGATTTTCATGTAGATACGATCTTCTCCTTCCTTAGCTTCAGGCATATAAGTTTGAATGAAAGCGTTAGGCACGTCCATCGTCATTATATCTCTACCTTCGTGTGCATCAATAACACAAGTAGTGGTGATTGCTTCCTGCAAAGCAGTTGGACTTGCAGTGTCCTCTCGCGATAACCATTCACAAGTTCCATCGCCTCGGTATACTAGGCGACCTTTAATCGTCTTTTCAAATTGCTTCTCCACAAGTAATATCATTGCTGATTGGGCCTTCTTTTGCTTAGACGCGGTCATGTCTTTAACAAATTTGGGAGTAAAACAATCTTTCAGGAGCATTTGTCTCAATTCCTTTTCCACAGCATCCTTTCCATCATCACCAAACTTCTTCAGTCCTTGATTGATGTAATACTGTTGAATGAAGTTCAGACCTTCATCAGTATCGAACTTGGCCTTGATCTGCATCATGCAACGAGCGATCAGAATAACGTCGTGCTCTTCATAATCAGCTTTCATCTCTTCCCAATCTGCTGGAAACATAGATTGTGCTGTGCTTTAAGGATAGCTTTATTGTCTGTAGTACTGCAACTTCCTTCTTTGGTACAAATGCCAGATTTTAACTTGTTCTTCAAGGGTTTCAATTCTCTTTCTCGATGCTTGCGTCTTGTCGCAACTCGATTCTTGTTCTTATTGGCAGAACTGCCACTCCTGCTCAAAGGCCATTCTCTTGGTTTCTTTGGAACTTGAGAAAGGTTCAGCCCAGAGTGACTTTTTGCTACTTGAGGCGTTTCTTCACGCTCAAATACAATCTCTTCTTCTGGCGGCTCTTGTAGGTCCTCCAGATCAGTAACGAGGCTCCCAATATCATCGGTTCCTCTATCGACATTTTCTTGATGGTGATCCAAATCGGCCACAATAGGTTCTTCCTCTTCATCGCCTTCATCACCCGAATCGTCATCTGATTCATAGTTGTCATCTCCTTGGAATCTGACAGTGAGTTCTGGCATATCATTGACATCATTGTCTGCATCTGCCAAGAGCTCTTCTCTTTTGGAGTCATCAATATCATCGATATCATCGAATTGTCCATGTAGATTGAAATCATTTTCATCTTCATCTTCAGGTTCATAGTCCTGATCAAAGGCTTCTTCTAAGTAACCTTGTTCCGTGTCATCCACTCCTGCAATTTGATCGCCATCTTGAAATGTCTCCAAATCTCTCTTCTTATCAAAGAACTTCATGGAAGTAACACATTTGGCAGCAGCCCAAGCTTCAACACGCTGGATTACTTGATCGGTAACGGGTAGTACAACGATCTTGGGTTAGGAAATCATCTTCTTAGTATTCAGGTTGAGCATTTGGTGCCCAGTACCTTTGTAGGTTCAATGTAAATTGCTTCGATACTTCGGGGTTCCATCAAATTGTTGGAATCAGTCCCAATTGCATGAACATATTGTCCAAGTTCAGCAACCATGTCACTCTTGTAGTTGATGTTGACATTATCAATGAGTTGCTGTGGACTGAAATGTGATGAGATACTGTCTTTCTGGGGAAAGACATTCAATAGCTCGGCGGCTCAACGTCCAAGACATTCAGTGATCACCTTTGGGACCACTTTGTAGGGTAATTGTGCAAGAGCTACTCTGACTCTTTCTTTCAGCGTCCTATTGTTTCGCTCAGCGGTAGGCTCGTGGTCTCCAGCTGCAGTCGGGTCAATAGTAACACCCATATCATCTAGCATATCATCCATGAGAGGAATCAACGCCCGATCACACTTGATGATCTTGACTTGAAAGCCTGCCTTGTTGTAGCGGCGGAATATCTTATCCAATGCTTCAAATACAGGGTCAGTCTTCAGGTTCTGCACGGGTATACATGAGCGATAATGCACAGTGGTATCAATGCAGGTGAGAAACTTAGCATTCTCGATCTCCATGTGATCAATACAGATGGTAATAGATCGATTATGTTGATATAATTCCTCTGGTGGACTGAAGAAGTTGTCGTACGTCTTCTTCAGAGTTGGTCTTGTTGACTTGCCTTTCAATGTAGAGGCGTCAGGTCCAAAGATTGCTTTGGCATGATTGATTGCTTCTTCGGTGATAGGACAGTTCTTGATGAGACCAGATCGGATTGCATACTTCAGACTTTTGGTGCTTGGAGCATTGAGTATGTGCATCGCACTTTTTGCTTCCATCGTAGCCTTGACTTGTCTTGGAGTGAATCCTTCCTTGTTCTTTCGAACGGTTGCCATCTTGGAGGTCATCTTGAGTCCAGCATATCCATTCTGTTTGTTTGAAGAAATGGGGTTGATTATTTAAGTTGCTTAACTGGTGACGGTGCATGGCACTTGTCTCTTTGGCACCTGGTTTGACATTCGCTCCAAGTTGCTCCAACACATACACACCCTTACAATTCACAAATCGCATCTTCCTGTTTTCATCACAATGCACAATAAAAGCATTGTCAGCATCAGTATCCATAGTAATGCGGTATCGCGCAGCAATCATCTCGCGCATAGCAAGTACATTGGCAATTCCATCTTCATCGTGATAAACTGGAGGTGGAAATCTTCCTAGAAAACCTTCTTCGTCGAGAACTCTGCTGCCCATGTTAGTGTGCATGTCAAGTTCTTTCTCAGCATGACGGAGTCCATGCATAAGCTCACCAATACAAATGGTGGTGTTTGTAAAACCACTGTCCATGATGACATGATTGTACAACCCAAATGGATCTCTTTCCTTTCTGCAGCTTTGAATAAACTGCAGACCTTGATCTGCTTCAGTAGCAAGATCAGGCATATCTTCATCTTCACTAGCATAGTGCCAGTTGGCTTGAAGTTTGACATTTGTTGTACCAGCAGGACATAGAATAAGGTAGACATCATTGCCATTCTCATCCTTTCCCTTGATAGCATCGTGAAAGACATTTGACATGTCAAAATATCCAGTTTTCACAGCTTGTGGAGTTCGAGCTTGAGTTGCATCAAATCCTTGTCGCACTTGAGCACCACTGAAGCCTTGTCGGCTGAGTTGCATTCCACTGAACGCAATCTCACCGTTAGCATTCATAGAATAAGGAACAGTAACAGTGCCGGCACCTTGAGTTGGAATCTGCATGAGCTGCATTCCAGAAGGAACTTGCATCATTTGATTACCTGTAGCACCAGCAAGTCGCAAAGGTGTGTTAACGCTTCCCGCAACACTTGATGCTCCACTTGTGGATGCTGAAGCTCCAGGAACTATAGCTGGAATAGTAGCTGGGACAGTTGCTCCAATCTGATTAAGATTGAGCTTCTTCCCATAGTCAACATATTGATCCTGATTCTTCCATTGGGTCTTTGGTAGCAGTCTGTCTGGGCATTTTGGAGACATATGGTCTTTGTTGCCACACACATAACATGCTGCCTTCTTTCCATCCTTTGGCTTCCCCTTTCCTTTTCCTTTACCTTTACCTTTATTAGGTTGGTCTTTTCCTTGGTAGAGGTTCACTCCCGGATTTTTAATCACTTCCATGTGAATCTTCAACATATCTTGTGCTTTGCTGACCGTCTTTGGATAATAATCCACTTCTCTGCAATAGTTTGTCTGAAGATCCAGCATCAGAGGAGCTGTTCTTGTTCAATCGCAGTTGCACAGAAATCCTGTTGCAAGAACGGCTTCAAAGATATCATCCTTGAACTTGTCTTGAGCAGCAGTATTGGTGCTAGCAATAGCAGCATACACTTTTGTCTTGACTGCAAATCTCAGAACCAGGCCATGCCATATAGATCTTGCAGGACTTCAGCCTGTCTCAAGAATCGTTCCTTGAAATGCATGAAGTTTTCGGTTGTTCCTTGCTTCATAGCAAAGAACTTTTGATTTGCTTCCCAGAAATCCAAGAAATCATACTCAGCATCAGCACTCTTCTTCATGAATCGTTCAATACGTTTCAAGAGTTCGATCGGATCTTCAAGAGTAGTCGTGAAATCGGCTTCACCTCAAAGCTTGATATCCATTGCTTTGTCACAAACTTCAGCATGATGTTTGATTTGACGGTCCTCTTGTTTGTCTCAAAGTAGGCTGATCTTCGCATGTTCTCGTCAAGCTTTGCAGAATAGAGAATCTTGTTTTGGGCCATCTCTGTTTCTCTTGCAACAGCTTCAGTTTGAGTTGGAACGTTCAATCTTGGAGCAATCGCATTGAAGTTGATTGACTTTCCATCTCGAATTGATTTCACCATGTCTTCTGAACATTTCATTCCGGAAGCTTGGATATAATCAATCACTCTTTCTTCAGCATCTTTGTATGACGATCTTGCCTTTCCATCGTTTTCATCTTTTGTTGAAATAGATGTTTCACAACTGTTGAACTCGAGTTGCTCTTGACTTTCTGAGGAGTTACACGTCCTCTTCCACCACCGGATGAAGAACGTCCCATCGTCAACGAATCACTCACTCCTTTGTAGATAAGGCAGTGCTGTTCTTGACGTAAATTTGTTTTGTTGCCTTTTGTGATTGAATGTTAGAATAATGCAAAATGTGCTCTATCGTGAGTGCCTTTAGCGCTCAGAACAAACTCTCTGCAATCTAAATTGGTAATCAAACATACAACACTTTCACAACAATAGTTCTCCTGTGTCTAGGTATACTTTGAGTGAAATTGTTCCTATTTGATTAATATTTGGCTTGAATTGATGATTCAATCACAAAAGTAAGTTCAATTATTTTCCCTTGGAAAATCCCTTGTTCACAGAACTTGATTCGACCTCTACGACAATTCTGTGTTGAATGCAGTACTTTGGGACATCTTGTATTATTTCCTACTGCATCGTACACAACATCAATATCTCACTTGTATAGGGTTATTCCCTTTTTGTGTGGATGTAGATTGTCCAACAGACTTGCGTCCGGCATACTTGCGTTGAATCCCGACATCAAGATCAAAGTCCGATTGTACATGTCAAAAACTTTGTACTTGAATAGTATCTTTTTGGAACGTAAAAACTCATATTTTGTCATATCCCAACACAATCACTCGTTTCACATGTTCAAACGCTTCTGTGTGTTCTTGTTTCCATACTAATGGACGTCCTTTTTTGCTTCATTTGATTAGTTCAGTAAATGGAGCTAACATATGTGAGCGCTTTTCCCACATATCACGGTAATAATTGAGCATGCCAAGGAATGAGCATAATTGTTTCAAAGTTTTTGGGGGTTTCAACTGCTGAATCGCTTCCACTTTGGAAGCAAGAGGGCGAATGCCTTGGCGCAAGACCAAGTAGCCTAAGCATTTAAATTGTTGAGTTGCAAACTCAGATTTGGGTAAATTAACTTTAAGGCCGGCTTTGTGGAGCCGTTGGAGACATAGTTCTAGCCGTTGAAGGTGGTCTTCAAAGTCACCTTTGGTGACACAGAGGATGTCGTCCAAGTATGTTAAGATGTGGCTGAGGCCTTCCATGAGGCGATTCATAGCTTCTTGAAAAATGTAAGCTGAGGACATTGCGCCCATGGGCAGTTTTTGGTAAATATATTTGCCCCAAGGTAAGATGATAGTACAGAGCTTAGATGTCTCGGGGGTAATACGGACATTCCAACATCCCATGTTCAAGTCAATGGCGGAGGCATAAGTAAATCCGCTGATATCCGTAAGTAAATCGGAAATTTTTGGAAGTGGGTAGACTCGTTTTTGGAGCATTGTCCATTTGCCTTGGGGACAATAAATGAAGGAGCGCTCCATTCGCTTGAAGTCTCCTTCTTGAGAACGCCAATGCGTACTAAACGATCAATCTCTTTGCGGATTGTGTCTCTATGGATGAGTGGAATTGGCATAGGTTTTGCATGGAATGGTTTGCTTCCTGGTTTAAGTTTGAAGTCAACTGGAGGAATGTTCCACGTGCCTAAAGTGCCGTCAAATAATTCTTCATATTTGTAGAGCAAACTTTTCAACGCGTTTTTTTTGTGCGCTGATAAATGATTCATTTGTTCAACGTCCGCGTTAATAGTTCTTCTTCTTGTTCTATTTCCATGATCTCTTCAAACATGGTTTGAAGTTTGTCTTTGTTTTCATCAGAACGTTCTGTGTAACCTTTCATGGGAACTGAGATTCCGTCCCACATTAGCAACTGCTTAGACCAAAGGATGTCAATGCCTAGTGAGTTTTGTAGATCACGTCCAATGATCATGTCGTAGCTAGAGTATGAACTTTCATCCACATGCATTGGGAAGATTACTTCACAACTTGAGGTGAACTCTGGAATACAGAATGTGACGTTACATTTAGACTTGGTTGTAAAAGTACCAGCATTGGTCGACCCAATTGTTTCTTTGGCTACATGATTTTTGCTATACATTGAGTCTGGAATGACATTTTGTTTGATGATTGTTTTGGAGCAGCCAGTGTCAATCAATCCATGTAATACTTTAATTTTGTTACTCTCACTACTCTTAATCGTGACCTTTACTATGGTAGTAAGATCGGAGATAGAGTGGTTGTCAGTGAGTTTTGGATTTCTTGTTTTGGCAATTAAAATTGCAAATAGTTGACTTATGTTGTCAGCCTTGGCAAGGGCTTGTTCCTTTGCGTTTTTCTTGGTCTTCTTAGGAGACTTGAGATTTTGTTTCTTTTTAGGATCGGTTTTTCCATTACTAGTTTAACGTCGTTGTTGTTGTTCTCATCAATATTTAGGACCTCGGCAAGCTCTTTGTCCCATACGGAGGGAGGCCATTTCCTTAGCGTTGGAGTTGCCTTTGTTTAACATTTTCTTGGAGATTTCTTCCTTGGACATAGAAAGACCAAAAGTCACATCATTCTTGTTTGCTACGTCCATTGGTCCAATGTTGTGCTTTACTTCTTTGTTGTTAGAAAGGTCTTTCTTTGTGTTGTTGCATTGGTCTTCAGTGTGACCATAGAATGTGAACCCTTTCTTCTTGGTGCAATAGTCACAAACTTTCTTTTTGTTTGGGCCGTCTTTATGGTCTTTTTTGTGATTGCGGTGTTCCTTCTTTTTCTTTGTGACTGTTATTTTCAGTGGAATGGACCTATTTGGATACTTCCTTGTAAAGAGGAATTGGAGCATCGTGCTTTGGATTCTGGTCAAAGGCAGTACCGTTGATGATAACTTTCATGATGTTGAGTAAGTTTTGTTTAATTTGTGGACTGTAAAAGGGATGATCAATAGATCTTCGCAAAGTGAATTCACTATGACTTAACCAAGATCAAAGGGATTTGATATCAGTTGATAATGAAAGTGTTAGCATTAGAATAATGGTTTTTAGGTGTGCTATCTAGTCTTGGTTTGGCCAAGGGATGTGTTCCTTTGGCCTGAAATATTCAGTAACGGTGCTGAAATATTTAGTAATGATCGGAGTACTTAGAAGGGCCAATAATAGTTAGGTCTGGAATATTGAGTAACCGATGGGAGTATAACAAAAGTGTCTGTTGAAAAGAGCGTAAGATGCAGCGTCTGCTGGAAGTACGTTGGAAGTCTGGCCAGATGACCAACGGTCCGTAGAGAGTACGTCAGAGTTTGAAGTTGTCTTTGAAAACACTGCAGGTGTTGGCTAGCAAAGGACGGACTGATCAGAATGCCCAAGTACATATGCAAAGAAGGTACAGTAGCAGGACAGTGGAAAGCTACGTACAAAAGAGGCTGTGAAAGAAGTTGGTGAATGAGCTGCAGCTCAGTTGCAGCTCATTCCTTTTGAAAAGACTGCTCTGTATTTGACAGAGTGAATTTGAAGTCTAGGAATAGATACTTATTAAAATTAGGAAAGCACACGGCTTCTACCTGTAACACCCATCATCATGACCATTACGGACTTCACCGTGCGCAAAAAGAGCTACCACTACCTCACCACCCAGGCGAGCTACCCAAACCATGATTCCAAGGCGGTCCTCGATGCCTTTGATCCCACCAAGGACCTTCAGTTGCAAGATCTAAACAGCCTTGTCGAAAAGGGTGTACAAGGAGGCGCCCCGGCCTGGTACACGGATGGCCCAAGGAACAGGTGAACAACTTTAATTTTTGGCATTGCCCAATGATTAGGTACACAACGGTTGGCGAAAAGAAAGAGCAGCATTTTGATAAATTGTACGTGCTGGACCATGACGTTCTGGAGAACGGGAGCGACCCACTGGCATTCTCTTGGCCGGCAAAGGCCTTCTCGAAAACCGATCCGGGTATGGTTCCAAAGTTGGAGGCGTGGTTGATAAACGAGGAGCTCGAGCAGGATCGCTCCAAGTTGTTCGTGATGGAGGATATCACCGATGAAGATCCTGAGACGGCTTACAACCTACTGGTTACACGCAAGCAAATGCCCATTCCCAAGGAGTTCTTGGATATCACTTGGGACGGATTGTTGGCACACGAAGTCTTGCGATTGGTGATTGACAGAATCAAGATTCTCGCCAACAGCAAGGAGCCTGAAAAAAATTCGGAAATGCAGGTGAAGTTTTGGCACTTTGTGGACCATTGACATGTGGCAAACACGGTCATCGGGAGAGATCAGCTTTTGAAGAACGTCGGAGAACCTGCTGTTCTCACTGCGACATCTGCCCGACGCTGGGTTTCCAGAGTAATTAATTTGGATTTCGCCGGATTGGACTCGGAGGACTCAACTGGAGATTCCTCCAACAAGACCTATGAACTGCTCACCAAGACCTTGGCGGCCGTCGAGGAGAGTAATAAGACAACCAAGACCTCCGTGGAATCGCTTTCGGAGGTAGTGGTAGCGGGTATCCAGGGACAAGCATCGGACAAGGTGCCCCCAAATACAGTGGAAAAGAAGTGGCCCACAAGGCTCTCCTACCTGAAGAGAGTTGCTGGTACCACGACCTCAGCTCAGCTTCCCACCCTCTGGCACGAGCTAGCAAAGTGTAAGAAGCACAAATCAATTGGAATTGTGCAGTCCCTGCTGGACGATGAGGCTGGCAAACTGAACCTCAATCTGGAATTCATCGTTTCAGCCCGTGTAATCAAGAGCTTGGTGGAATTGGAATTATGTTTGCGCGGAGACATTGAAAAGGATTTGAACGTGTTTAATAGTGTCTGTTTCCAGCACTACAAAAATGCCAATGCGATAAACGATTACAACAAGAGCAATTATTGGTTGACAGGCAAAAAGACGACCGCTTCAATGAAAGATCATCAAGCCCACAACAAGATCAAGCATGCTATCTTCCCAAAGGATCCCATGCAGTTCTGTGAGATGGTCAATGGCATGCGCGTATTCTACCGTGTAGTGTTTGGGAAAACTCATCCACTGACAGCTGTGTAAAAAAGGTTTGCAAAGAATGTGGATTCAATTGCACGAAAGATGGGAGTGTCCAACTCCCAGCAGGAGCGAGCACTCGAGAGATTTCTCTTTGGAATCTATTTCCAAATTGATTGTTACTGAGCATTTGGTAAGATCCGGCACAAACGCAGAAGAGAACCTACCCGACTTGGGCACCTACATGGAGACATGCTACCATGGAGGAAGCCTACAAGAGTCAAACTTGTTTGTCGTCGCAAAGGACACCGTCGGACATGGTGGAACAGGAGACAAGACTGAGAGCCAGTTCAAGAGAGAGAAGCAAAGGGCCCAGAAGAAGAGCCTGGGTGAATCAGAAAAAAATCCTGACATGAACGAAGAACATCGCTACACCGGAAGAACTACTACTGAGTTAATCAAACGGACAGGCGAACAGCCTCCAAAGCACGCCAACGGAAAGGAACTGTGCCTCATTTGGCACACAAAGGGCGAATGCAAGGAGCACTGTGAACGCAAGCATTCTCATTGTAAGCTGACTGACGAGGAAGCAATCGCAATGAAGGATTATGTAAATAAGAATCATCGGATTCTTGCAGGCCATCTCATCCGGACCCACTTTTGTTACAATCTACTTTAATTGGAGGTAGTGCTAATACTATAGGTGAGCTGGTTGCCTTGGCAAATGAAACTTATTTAAAACACGGTTGGCAAGTCACTGCTTGTTTATTCCGTTCAGATGATGCTGCACCAGACATTGATAAGCTTCCGCACCCTGCCGCACCAATGCTACACCGAGTAATGAAAAATGGGGCTCCTGTGGTGGTTCATTCGGAGCCATGGAGCCAGAGCCAGCTCGACATGCGAGTCGCTCGGCGCTGTCACTCATAAGCAAACAAATTCAAAGAGTTTCTGATGGAGGAGGTTTTGGATTTTGGAAGGAAGGGATTTTGGATCCTACTTCCATACAACACCATCAAGGACAAGAAAGGACTTCGCCTTTCTCCAATTGGCTGCGTACCACAAGATAACAGAAGACCACGGATGATTGTTGATTATTCGTGCTGGGGACTCAACGACAAGACAATGAAACTTGCCCCAGAGGGAGCAATGCAATTCGGCACGGCCCCACTACACATCCGCGAGGCACTCATGAAGGCAAACCCGGACTATGGGCCAGTTTACATGTACAAGACCGACATGTCGGACTGTCAACTACCGGCGCACTCAAGCTTGGGGTCATCTTACCGCGTTTTGAGAGACTTCCACAATTGGTTGCACGGCCACTTGTGCTTCCAATGGGTTGGACAGAGAGTCCACCATGGTTCTGTGCCTTCACAGAAACAGTTGCCAACCTGACAAATGTTGACTTGCAACAAAACAAGCGAGTGCCACCGCATCCTTTGGGAAGGGCAGCAGCCATCACTGACTTTGAAGTGAGGGACACACAAGTTGCGAGACCTACACCAAAATCTCACCAGCCACTGACTTTTCAGCGCCCATTGAAAAAGATGGAAGTATTTGTGGACGATTTTGTTGGAATGGGCCAAGACCATCCAAGCAATCCTTTGACAAATCAACAAGCCGTCCTCAGCCACAACATTGACAAGGTCTTCTGACCAAATCGACCCATGGACAACCAGTGGCGAAAAGAGCCACAGTCACAATCGAAAATGGATAAGGGAGATGCCTCTTAGCACACAGTCAAAGAAGCCTTGGGTTGGAACTGGGGAGCAACAACAAAGACATTGCAATTGAAAGAGAAACGAGTGAGCAAGGCCCTGTCACTCCTGGGCGAGGTCTTGGATTGCAAACGCGTCCCCCTGAAACAATGGCAGCAGGTGTTAGGAGTCTTACAAAGCCTGCAGCCAGGAATGTCGGGCAGTGAGGGACATTTCTCCCTGCTGCAGGATGCACTGATTTGACAGGTGGATTGTAGGGTGCGGTTGACTCCGGAGGTCCGTGAGCAACAGGAAATCTTCCAAGATTTTCTTCATGGCCATGCAAAGCGCCCCACAACACTGGAAGAGCTGGTACCAGGCGTTGACTTACACGTTGGCGCTTGTGATGCGGCAAAGTCGTGAAGGGGAGGAGTATGGTTCACAGACAGTGGAGAGTCCATTGTCTGGCGCGAACCATATCAAGAAGCAGTGAAAAAAGAGGTCATTTCAGATCACAATCTGACAGGAAAACTTACCAGCTCAGACTTGGAGCTGGAAGGCACCGTTCTCCATCATTTTGTCCTTGGAAAGACAGCCCAGGTGGAAGGCGAAACCACTTACACTGGCTGTGACAACACACCAGCAGTGTCGTGGCGCACAAAAGGATCTTCCACCTCTCGAAAGGCAAGAGCGTGAATATTACGGTTAGCGGCAGGATTACAGCGGGAACAAAGAGCACATCATCGTATTGGGCACTTATCTGGAACAAACAATCGAATGGCAGACAATGCCAGCCAACTGTGGCACCTGTCTGACAACGAATTTATCTCATATTTTAATCGCACGTATCCACAGATCAACTCTTGGCAACTGTACAGGATGCCAAACGCTGTGAACTCCTTGATGAAATCCGTGCTGTTGAACTCGGAATCAAACGCAGAGTCTGTCCTTCAAGAGTTGCAAAGGCACACTCTGTCTGGACCACATGGGTTGCCTTCTGCAACAGCCTCACCCTCGACCCAGGATTGTCAGCGGTCGACAATCCCTTGCTCATCATCCTCCTTTTTGGAACCCAATGGCGACATGAAAAAATTGCCCCCAGTAAGAGACAGGTCCGGGGTCGAACGGCTGAAGATGCCATGCGCCAGGTGGGCCAGGCCTTTTCCTCATTGGGACTGCTTGATCCGAGGATGAACCGATATGCACCGGGCACAATGGACTTTCGTTGGACACGGCTGCTAAAAAGCTGGAAGAAAGAGGATCCAGCAGCACAATGAGTATGCCCATTGCCAAAGTCTTTGTTAAGGCAAGCATCAAAGCTTACCGCAAAACCCTTGCATTCGGATTCGGACTTTTTTGGTTCCAGTCTTTTGTATGGCCGCACTTTTTTGCATTCCTATACCATGTACAAGTACACATGCCGCAAAGGCAATGAACCAATTGATGTGGCTGGGATTTTTCTTTTTGTTACGTCCTGGCAAATTTCTATCAAAGGCGGGAACACAATTTCCATTCAAGTTGAAGCAAGTGTTTTTTCGTATCAACGACGCAGAATTTTGTGGCGACCTCATTCCCCTTTGCCTCCTGGACACATCACTTATGACATTCGCCAGTGTGATATTTGACAAACAAAAAAATGCGGTGCCAGACAAAAAGATTGGTTTGGGCACGTCATTTAATGGTGACAACCCCTTTGTTCACCTACTACTCTGAGTTTGGAGTCCCTTGCAATGTCACAGATCGAATGATGACAAAATTTTTGTATCAACGACGCAGAATTTTGTTGCAACCTCATTCCCCTTCGCCTCCTGGACACATCACTTGTGACATTCGCCAGTCTGATATTTGACAAACAAAAAAATGCGGTGCCAGACAAAAAGATCGGTTTGGGCACGTCATTTAATGGTGACAACCCCACAGCTACGCTGATTGCCATTGTCCAGAACCTTTGACAGAGTCAACACAGGACTGGCGACACCCCTTTGTTCACCTACTACTCTGAGTTTGGAGTCCCTTGCAATGTCACAGATCAAATGATGACAAAATATTTGAGAGCAGTTGCTCTCTCCGTGGAGGTCGATCGACCTCCCACAATCGGTGCTCTTCGATGCACCGGGGCTACCGCGCTTCTCAAAGGCAATATCCCTACTAGTCTCATCAAATTACTCAGTCTGTGGCGCTCAGATGAAGTTTTTTGGTATCTTCACACCCAGTCCGAGCCTTTGATGCAACGCTTGACCAACGTTCTTGTTGATCACGTCGGGAACTAGCGTTCTTCCCACCCACCACACCCTGGACGGCAACAAGATGGCCGAATGGAGGAAACCAGCGCTTGCGCTGGGGGATTGGGGGCCAACAGCCAGTAACAACTGTCAGTCCAAAAACATCATTGAAACTCTTTTAGGCCCAATTGGAGTCTGCAAAATCCAAAGCGATTGAGAAGGATGAGCAATCGCTGCAGGTGTTGGCTAGCGAAGGACGGACTGATCAGAATGCCCAAGTACATATGCAAAGAAGGTACAGTAGCAGGACAGTGGAAAGCTACGTACAAAAGAGGCTGTGAAAGAAGTTGGTGAATGAGCTGCAGCTCAGTTGCAGCTCATTCCTTTTGAAAAGTTTGCTCTGTATTTGACAGAGTTAATTTGAAGTCTAGGAATAGATAGTTATTAAGATTACCCTAGTCCCATCTCACCCTTGGAGGAAACCAGCGCTTGCGCTGGGGGATTGGGGGCCAACTGCTAGTAACAACTGTCAGCCCAAAAACATCATTGAAACTCTTTTAGGCCCAATTGGAGTCTGCGAAATCCAAAGCGATTGAGAAGGATGAGCAATCGAGATAGGAGCACTCTCTAGCCATCGTCTTGCGGTCAACCCACCCCGTCTGTCAGTCGCACGTAAACAAGCGAAGGGTATCCCTGGAACGCACCACAATGTGCAACGCACGCAATTTAAATGTCCGTTAATAGTTTAAAATGGTTTTATTGGAAAACGTTAAGTGTCCGTTTCCATTTTAGCACGGGCGCACTGTGAAAATCGGGCATGCCCCATGCGTCAATTTGACGCAGAAACGGGCACGCCCCGCTAAATGACGCGTGACGCACAAAACTGCGTCAAATTGATGCAAGTAACTCAAGAAATTGCTTCAATCCCGGTCAAACAGATACAGTTGTGTCAATCCCGCGTCAAACTCAAGGGAGGCTAGAAACACAATGTTATAAGAGCACAGTTCAGGTTCTGACATCAGCTACTTCATTATGCTATGAGCTACAGTTCTGGATTTGTTTATCAAGAGTACTTGGCTTCATATCCCAAAATTTCACAGTTCCAAGCTCTAAACCAATTTGGATTGATTCCAGGACAGCACCTAGTACCGCAAGTGTATGCTTATCATAGTTATGGATCCAAATACCTTGCAATGATTGGAACTTCTTCATCTTGCAAAAGACACATACTGCCTTGTTTTTTGGTGTTCAACAAGAATGCTGGATGCAATAAGTCCTTAAACAATTGAGACAACAAGGAGAGCAGAAAGATGATCCTGAAAGGAATAGGAGACATTGCCAGATCCCTGGCCAAGTATGCCAAATCCATTCTCAAATATGTTTTCTATAAGATTTTTGAGCAGTACTATATCTGGGGGATTCCGTTGATGAGCAAGACAGGGATATCTGTTGGTGAATTTCATCAAGGGCTTCAAACTCCTCATTCATAAGGTTGTTGCTTCTTGCTTGGAAAATAGCATCATTGCCATTATGTGCCCCAGCTTTGTCAATTTCCATCAGATCTATTGTTCAAAAAATGGGCAACTCTCATTGGAATGAGAGTGGGAACTCAAACTCTCATTCATTCACACACTCCAATCTTTTTGGAACTGATACCAGTACGCGGGTTTTGTCCCGCGTCGAAGACACGCAGGCCCGCGTTAAATTGACGCAACCCGCGTCAGTTGACGCGGAATCGGCGTTAAACTGACGCAACTCTGCGTCAAACTGACGCAACTCCGCGTCAAACCAACGCAACTCCACGTCAAACTAACGCAACTCGCGTCTTTCCCGCGTCAAAAGAAACGTCCCGCGTCAAAGTCGCAGAGCATTTTAACGGACACATAAATATTATTTAGAGCTAAAAAAATCCTCAAAACAATCCAAACGGACAGATTTCGGGTGTGCGTTTGACATTGTGGTGCATCCCTGTCCTTCGCTTGTTAACGTGCGACAGACAGACGTAATTGACGACCCATAGACGATGGCTAGTAGAGAGTGAGGATAGGAGTATCAACACACTAGTTATCTTCGACAATTTCCTCACCGATTATGGGCAACGAAGCATCCAAATCCACCTCAAACTCTGCATATCCTTTTCTTCCACTCACAATGAATACAATGCTGATACAGATAAGATTGCTTTCACTGGAGACAGCAAAAATCAACAATCTTGCTCCGAGGAGATATCATCATTGATTCATTTTGCAGAGTCCAACTATGAAAGTAGACCAAATGAATCACTATCCGCGTTGATGGAAGCGATGACACTCAACAGTGGTCCAGCCAGGGCCACTCATGCCATGAAATGTATCAAGGTTGAACTGGAACGACCGGAAATTTAGGCAATGCCACCCACACTGATTTATTCACAAAGCAACACTCATCAAATGATCACAGAGTATCAGTCCAAAGCATGAAAGCGAATAAGCGCCAACGTATTGCTCAACTTGTACAAAACCTCCTGGCCAATCGATCGACTTATTTGTATCAAATGGGACATCAGCATATTTTACAGCAGGCGATGGAAGATGGCAGCTCGGTTGTATGTCGCCATTGCAATGGCATGATCCCTGCCAAGCGTTGGCAGCAGCATCAACAGTACTGGTGCCAAGTAACTGCGAATAATTTGCACACGGAAATTGGCTAGAACGACAATGATGTCATGTACTGTAATGATGAATGACAAGTGACAAGCTATAGACCCAGTCAAATAATGTCACAACATTTCAAAGAACTAATGCTCTACCTGTTGACACTGTTGGCCCGTTGATCGCAACGTGTTGGTTCACACATTGGGCAAGCGAATCACTCAACTTCATTGCTTTGCGCTGAAGTTATCTTTCTTGAAGCACTGGGTTGTGGCAGTGCATCTAGTTGAAGACAAGGCAGCATTTTTTGTTTCGATTTGCTACGATCATTCGTCACCTTGACCCATGTCAAATCACGTGAAACGGGCGACAATCCGAAGGGCCACCATTTTGAATTGATCATGGGGAACAAACCGTTGCGAGACCTTGGCGAGGCACTTCAATCCAACCATACTACGCTTGCAATCACCTTTGTGTGCGCTTTGCACTCATTTAGAACACGTTTGCATCGTGTGCTATCGATCCGACAATCACTTTGCTGAATGTATTGGTCTGTGTGCCTTTCTTCAGGGTTTTTGGAGAGCTCTGATGGGATCGGCGTCGGCAAATAATGTGCAAATTGGTTGTCATTATTGTCCCAAGGTCAATGAACTTAGAATTAACTGCGAACCTATGAAGAATCTTTTGTAGGATTCAGAAAAACTACTTTCACAAAGGCGCCCTTACATCCACAGTTCATACCAGAGGTGGCTCTTGATGCAACAGGCAATTCAAACTCGTTCTTGATGCAACAGGCAATTCAAACTCATTGCTTGCTGACTCGATGAAACGGCACAAGACGCCGTATATTCAGTCTCTCAAAGACTTGAGGACTCCTGCAAACTTCAACAGTTCTGTTAGTAAACACACAAGAATTTGATACGGACCTTCCATCTTTGGATCCAATTTACTTGGATTGAAATTCTTGATCAAAACTTTGCCAGCAATGTTGTGGTCAAACTCCTTTCGTTTAGCATTTTGTCGCCATAGATTTTTTTTGACCATCAATTGTCGCTTTTCTTGTATACTCAAAAGATTGACAATGACAGGAATGTTGAGCAACATCTCACGAGCAAACACTACTTCACCTGAAGTGTTGTTTTTCAAAGACTGAGAAACAGCACATCTCATGGCATGATTGCATGCCACAAGAAGCATCATTGACGGCTTGATTAGCTGTCCGAATGTTTGGGGCCATGTTAGTGTTGTTGAATCTTGTTTGTAGAATGTTGCCAACAGTCTGATGCATACATTCACAGATAGCATTGGCAGTTGGATTCTTGCTTGTTGCCGATGCATCGTAAATTCCCCACTGCTGTAGTTTCAACTGAAAATTGTGACCAATGAATTTGCCGCCTTGATTGTGAATGCACATGTAGGGTTTTGGATATTGAGAAAGCCAAAGATTCTTGAAGACATTTGTGACATGGGCTGAAGTCTTGTTCTGAGGCTCAATGCGTGAAAGTTCAGTGAGATTCGTCATGGGATCAATACAAGTGAGCGCATTGAATTCAATGTCTATACCGTTGACCTTGATTTTCCAAGGTCCAATCAAATCCAGAGCCACAGAAAACCACGGGACCAAGTCTGCGTGTCTTTCAGGCAGATGTCTGTATTGAATGTTCACATTTTTATTCACTTGGCAAACAGGGATTCAACTTTTCTTTTCAAAGCAGGAGCATAGAATCGTCAGACAATTGTATTGTACAAAGAGGTAGTACCTTGATGTCCAAGTACCAAATGATACCACACAATCACTGGAGCAACCAAAGTTTCAGGCAAGTGAATTCTCCATTTGTTAGGTTTATTCAAATCTGCACGGTAGCAGATCACATTCCGATTGTCAATTTGCATGATGGGATATTGAGCCCAAGTTGCTGCATTTTGCGATTTTTGAATGAGGGCAACATCTTGGAGCTGATGTTGTTGAATGTTTGCCTTGTGATTAGATTTGGCATAACTTCTAATGGAGTTTGTCAAATGCGATCAATTTACCTTTAGATAGCAAACTCTTCCCCTCAGATTTCTCCATTTGCGGTAAACGCGAGAAACAGTCGGCCAAAACATTATCTTTGCCTGGCAAATAGTTCAACATAGGCGAAAAAAATTTCCATGTACATTTGCCAGCATAAAACTTGTTGTGTATTCAACGTGCAGAAGGTGTGATTTTTTTGATCTGTAAAAATAGTCAATTGCATACCTTAAAGCATTGAGCAAAACTCCTTCAAGCAATGCACAATAGCCAACACCATGACAGAATAATTCTTTTGTGCATCATTGAGTTTGCAACTCCAGTACGCCACTGGCTTTTTGTCCAAAACATCAGTGTAGAGTTCAAAGGGCTTGTTGTGATCGGGATACCGCATTAAGATATCACTAGCGATCAAAGATTTCATTTTGGAAAGCTTTTTCACATTTGTTTGGCCATTGAAATGTGCATGTTCCAGTGAGAGCTGTCAACAGTTGCAAAAGGTGAGAACGTTGGGGCGACATGTGGCAATAGTAGGTCACAGCACCCAAGAAAGCTTGAAGTTCAGTAATTGCGAGGAGCATTCATTTTTAGGATTGCATCGACCTTTTTCTTGCAAGGTATGACACCTTCAGGGGTCAACCAATGGCCCAAGAAATTGGTTTCTTGAACACACCATTCACATTTCAAAGGCTTAATTTTGAAACCTGCCTCTTGAAGTCGTTTGACAACAGTCTTGATGAATTGCATATGTTCTTCATAAGAGTTAGAAAAGAGTCCAACATCATTGATGTAGACTTCAACATCTTGTTCCTTCAAACCATGCAATGTCTTCTCAATGTAGCATTGAGCAACATCAGGGGCTGGCTTCAATTCCATTGCCATTTGTTGGTACTGATATTTTCCATATGGGGTGACGACCATGCACAATTCCTTGCTTTCATCATCAAGCTCAAAAGAATAATACATTATTGTGAGATCGAGTTTGGTAAAGAATTTGTGGTCAGCACAACGAGAGACAACTTCATCAATCAATGGCAAAGGATATACTTTTTGTTTGAGAACCTTGTTGAGCTTGCAAAGATCACTGATCCATTGTACTCTTCCATCTTTCTTTGGAATAATGAATGTAGGAGTGGCCCATTCAGTTGGACCACATTGCTTGAGTATGTTGATTGATTCCAAATGCCAAAGTTCCTTGAGAAAAGAGTGTTGGTGTTTCACAGGAACAGAATAGGCTTTGGAATGAATTGGTAGGGCACCGTCTTCAGCTTCCAAATGTATCTTCTCCTGTTTGTAGTGTCCAAGGTTGCCATCAAAAAGCTCTCGTGTATTTTCCAATGCAGTTGCCAATTGATCTTGTTTTGTCAAGTGAACTTGCTTGGAAGCAACTTCAGCTCCAGTTGTTGCTTCATACTTTGCATCTAGGATGAAAGCATCATTGAAAATATCCAAGTAGCCGCGATCCAATGCAATAGTCCAGTTGGTGTGATTTTGGAGGTGGGTCTTGTATTTCATGGAAATGATTTTTTTGTCAATCCATTTGACTTGAAGGTTTTGAAAATCGATTACGATTCCAAGTTCATTGAGAAAGTCGCGACCAAGGATAATATCATGTGGACAATTAGGTGCATCAAGAACTGTCACTATTTTACCATAGATTTGCCAATGTTGATCAAACTCCCTGTGTGAAAACAGTTTTCAGTTTTACCGCGCCATCATGAATTAGCGCATGTTTCACAACCTATAGCCGGGTTTGGCATTTTCGGTTTTGCTAATTTGCCCGAATTTGCCACACGGTCCTGACCCAAACCAACTATTTTTTTTGGCTCGACCAATCACAGCTGGCCAAAAAAAGAAAAAGAGTTGGAGGTGGTACCATACTACCGGTACTGTAGGTACAATATTTTGTCCACACTTAAGTTTGCAACATTGGTAGGTTGCACAAGTCCTCCCTCTGGGTAATTGGGTCCACTGAAATAGATGGGGTATGGCTAGTAGCAACAGGTTTGTCTCCAGGCACTGGACTTTGTATGGTGTTTGAATACGTCAGGTTTCTCATCACAGTCTTAGTATTTGGCGGTGGATTTGTTTTAGACCTTCTGCCCTTTGGATTACTGATAGTGCCCTGAACTAGGTCTCCATTTGTTGGTGTCATCTCATAGGATAGGAAGGTATAGTGCAGATTGACCTCTGGATTCCCCGCCTGGGTTTGCAACCACTGTATAAAGTCTGCGGCAGACAAGTTTGCTCCATTGTCAGCTTTGGCTGGAATGTATTCTGCTGGTGAAGTTATCATGACGGATTGAGTTGTAGACCTAGAAACATAGCCATGCTTCAACTCAAGAAGCATCTTCCAAGATTGCGTACCTGTAACTGCTGCCTTCTGTTGGGCACCACAGACCATTTGTTGAGCTTCTGCAGTGAGGTTGTGTGCTCTTATTGGTAACTCGGCTGCAGGTTTGGCATGGTATTTGTGGAGGGTGTCTCCTTTACAAGAGATGTAGATATAGGATTGATCACCTTCCTTTTTACTGCTATGAATATGTAGTCTTAGTCTGCAGGAGCACAACTTGTCTCCTGTATTGTCCGTTGAAGTGTGGGTAGCTCAGGGACAGGTTTGGCCATCTGGATAATTTCCCAAACAATCATGATGGTAGGACTTGTGGCAGTATTGGAGAAGGACTCCTTTTTCATTGAATTGCTCCAAGTCCTGTAGTTTTGTCCCTTTGTATGGCTTTGATCTATAAAGGTCAACCATCCTTTTGAGGCATCATAGGTAAATTCACTTCCATGCTTTAGGCCAATTAGTTTCAAATGGTGAAGCAAATCTTGAGGCCTTGTTTTGTAGGTGGCCATTGTTTTGAATTGAATCTTGCTTTTCTTGTTTCAATATCATTTGACACAAATGAGAACAAGTCAGCGGATTCACCGTCATAATCAACAAGACCATCAAATGGGAGCTTGGCAGGCCATGTTTGAGCTTCAGCAACTCTGAGTTGCAGTCCTTCTTCTACTTCCTCTTGGGTGAGATTTGACGCATTTTCTGAAGGCATCGGAAGGTATGGGGGAGAAAACGGTTCACGTTTTCCTGTCCATGTGCCAAAAGATCAAGAGAAAAGGATGCACCACTGGTGAGTGCGCCCACATACTATCTGGATGTCACCCTTTCATAAAGAACTAAAGCACTAACTCTATTCTCCTCCATTTCCTCCTTCTATCCTCTTCAGCCTTTTCTTCTCCATTTGCTCCTTTTTAGGATGGCAAGCTTCAGTGTGATTCAACAACAGCTCGTGTTCATGATATTGGAGACCTCTGTCATTTCTAAATCATGGTTCATTTTCATCACCAAACAAAGCGCTGGTATCTTTGATTGGATGCTGGCCACAACTTTCTGCACGCCAACCGCCACAAGGGCCTGCACCAAATCAGAAAGTCCCGTCATGATCTCCCTCTTCAGGTGCTAGAAACAGCATCCAATATGCTCAATCATGGGACACCTACTGTCAGATGGACTTGCTCTACAGACCTGAATGGGAGCCTCAACGCCCTGCCTGTTTCAATGAGCAGCCCCTGAGATTGAATCTACATTGGCTATGGTCTGCCTTTGGGCACCAGCGACTCTGGACCTCAGCCTCTGGAATAAGCAGTAGTCTTATTCAATCAAAGGTCTTACTTTATTATCTCCTATACTTGCTTGGACCTCAACGTCCACAATATTATTCTTGCCAGAACTCAATTGATAGTGAGACTCTCCATTGAAGTTCAAAATCATCTTATAAATTCTAACGATTCTCATTTTTGATCACCTTTCTATGTGATGACGCGTTCTGACATACTGTGTTTCATATTACACATGATCCACACTCACGTCACTGTTGCGTCACATCACATAGACCATTGATCAATAATCGGCCAATATGATTGTTCAATATATCAATATGTCCAACACACTCCTGTCGTTTCAGCAGCAACTCCAGTTGATGGAACGAAAAAATTACTTCTCAATACAAGTGAAATATTCAAGATTGTTCATCAGGACTAATCCTGGTCACCTTGAATTACAGCTTGGAATTTGCGAAACTTTTCACCCTGTAACGGCTTTGTTATGTAATCTGCCCACATTTCATCAGTTGGCATGTGTTATCTTGATATAGTATATTCTTCTTGATTGGGTAACCTTGTTCTTCCATAAATAAGCGTGTCCACAAAATATTGGACGTCGCATCATGGACTCCAATTAGTTCAGCATGTGTACTGCTGTCACAATTCAATTTCTGCTTTTGTGTAATTGCTTGCACTGCTCCAGTGCCCATTGTCATCACAGCCCCAGTATGATTTTTGAAGCAAGTGATGCATCGACATACCAGCGCTCAATGTCAGATGCCATCCTTTTGTAGAATGAATGTATCTCATCAATTGAACTAGTTTGTGCCAATCACTCAGATTCGGAGATTGCACCCTTGATGCTAAAATCAATACTGTCGGACTGATGTCCAGATGAGCACGTTTTGACAAAAATAACAATTTGGCAACAAACAAATGGAACACTTCATGTTGTTCCTTCTCAAGCGGTGCTCCTTTACCTTTCTCCAGTAGATTATTTCCAGCTGGTGTCTCCTGAATCTCATTGTCCTTAAATTTGACTGGAAACTCACTCAGCATGCAATCCACATAATCATCCATGCGAATTTTCATTTTTCCTTTCTTCAAAAAATCCAATGTCATATCCAAATAAGTATGAACTTTACCTCTAGTGCATGTGACCTCTTTTAAGCCACCATATTTCTCATTCACCCATGTGAAAAAATCTTCAAGTACTTGTTGTTCCATGTGACTCACCAAAACGTCATCAACATGGAACTGATTGTCAATTGTTTGCCATTAACCATTCTGTTGGCAATGCAGGGATCATATTGATTGAAAACAAAGCCATACTCCTCTAGAGAAGCTCTCAAATTTCGATACCATAGCAACAATGACTGCAACATCCCATATATGGCACAAAGGATCACAACATAGATCACCCGCTTGCCATTCTCATAAACAACATAATTGCAATAAGTCGGGTCCAAATCAATCATAAAATTTTGAATATTAGATGGATCTTGGACCATCAGTCCAGTTACCTTCATGATCACCCGATCTTCTCCATCACCTAAATCTGGCATCAAGGTCTGAATGAATGCATTTGGAATGTCCATTGACATCATGCATCTACCTTCGTGCGCCTCAATCACTCCTGTGCAACAGATACCTTCATGTGATGCGGTCAGGCTAGCTGTCTCCTCTCGAGACAGCCAGTCTCTTGTCTCATTTCCTATATACAAAACGACCTGTGATATCACCACTGTTTTTCTCTGCCAGTAACATCATTGCATCGACTGCTTTCCTCTTCTTGGACTCAGTCAATTCACCAATACTGATGGGTGTCCAACAACTTCGTTTGATCAGTTGATCAAGTTCCTTGAGCGCAGCTTCTTTGCCTCGTTCTTTGAAAATCTTCAATCCTTTGTTAAGATAATACTGTTGAATAAATGACACTCCATCCCTTGTGTACACTTCGTCACAAATCTGTTGCATGACGCGTGAAATCACCAACGACTCATCCACATTGTAAGTCACTTTCTTCTCAGTTCCACTCAGCTGGAACATTAAATTATGCGCCCGCTCAGTAATCTTTCTTCTTGCTTCAGCACTCAACACGTTGTCATCCCGGAACTCTCCTTTCTTTTGTGATTTTACCTTTGACGCGATAGCCTGGTACAATGAGATACATAATCTCTTCAACCGTGCCTTCTTTCCCATGGCACTCCTGTTCTTTAACAAATTGATCTTGGGCTTAGGTTGGGTCCAAATCGATCATATATTGGACCATCAGTCCAGTTACCTTCATGATCACCCGATCTTCTCCATCACCTAAATCTGGCATCAAGGTCTGAATGAATGCATTTGGAATGTCCATTGACATCATGCATCTACCTTCGTGCGCGTCAATCACTCCTGTGCAACAGATACCCTCATGCAATGCGGTCAGGCTAGCTGTCTCCTCTCAAGACAGCCAGTCTCTTGTCTCATTTCCTTTGTATACAAAACGACCTGTGATATCACCACTGTTTTTCTCTGCCAGTAACATCATTGCATCGACTGCTTTCCTCTTCTCGGACTCAGTCAATTCACCAATACTGATGGGTGTCCAACAACTTTGTTTGATCAGTTGATCAAGTTCCTGGAGCGCAGCTTCTTTGCCTTGTTTTTTAAAAATCTTCAATCCTTTGTTAAGATCATACTGTTGAATAAATGACACTCCATTCCTTGTGCACACTTTGTCACAAATCTGTTGCATGACGCATGAAATCACCAACGACTCATCCACATTGTAAGTTGCTTTCTTCTCAGTTCCACTCAGCTGGAACATTAAGTTATGCGCCCGCTCAGTAATCTTTCTTCTTGCTTCAGCGCTCAACACGTCGTCATCCCGGAACTCTCCTTTCTTTTGTGATTTTACCTTTGACGCAATAGCCTGGTATAATGAGATACGAAATCTCTTCAACCGTGCCTTATTTCTCATGGCACTCTTGTTCTTTAACAAATTGATTTTGGGCTTCTTTCATTGTAAGTACGTCTGACCATGTCTTGGTCTGTCAGTTTGATTCCTATCTGTGGGTCGATTTTTGACTCCGTTTGAATAAAATGATTGTCCACTTTGTGTTCTCCTTTTTTTGTCTTTATTTGAATCATCTGTTGTACTCAACACGGGGACTTCTTCAAACCTCACTCCTGCACAAACATCATCTTCTTTGTCAGGATATACTTGCGGATTGTCTTCTGCTTCTTGCAGTTCTTGTATTTCTTCCGCATCAAATTCACCCTCATAGTCATCGTCTCCATCTTCAACGCTGAACATTATTTCTTCTTCAATGGGTTGGCTCAATCTATCCAACTCATGGGCTACTTCATCAATCATATCTATTAATTCTACATCATCAATATCCATTTCAATATTGCTTTCAGGTTGCTGATCCTGCACAAAATCCATATCGTCTTTATTGTCTTCATCGTCTTCTTCTTGACGTCTCTTAATTCTTTGCAGCATGCGGTCGACAGTTCTATCTGCCTCATCATATTCATGTTCTCTCTTATCATCAATTCTTCTAGATTCCAATTCATCTTTGGCTGCATCCTCAATTAGTTCTTTGAGTTCTTCATCTGTGATTGCATCATTCTCATCTGTGATTGCATCATTCTTGCACAAATTCATGTCATTGACTGGTGGAATCTCAATATCTGCAGGACATAGTCTTCGTCCCACAGTTCATCTGGGTCCACTCCTGCAAGCAGATCAGCATCCAAAATTATTTCTCCATTGCGCCTGGAATAGGTTTGTAAATCTGTAACGCCTTCCTCAGCAGCATGGGCTTCAACCAACTTGATCACTTGATCAGTGATTGGGAGCACCGTAATTTGAGGTCTAGTTACCTCTCTCTTTGTGTTCAAATCATATAGCTTGTGACCCTTTTGCATATTATCAGCTGGTCCCAAGTAAATTGCTTCAATAGTGCATGACCGATGATCACTGCGAGTATCATGTCCATAACCATGGACATACGACCCAAGTTCAGCAACAAATTCCTTCGAATAATCAACTTGGCGTTGCAACAAAATCATATGAGGACTGTAATAGGCCGAAATACCCCCTTTGGCGGGATAAAAGTTGGAAGTCTGTGCAACTCGTTTTGCAATAGCTTCAGTAATAATCCTTGGAATGGCCTTATACGGCATGCAATGGTATTGGACACGGAACAACGCCTTGATATGTTGGATGTTTTGTTCCGCCATGGGATTGTGTTCCCCCCAGCTTGCATGATTCATATCAACATTCATCACATCTTTAACATCATCAAAAACTGGTCTAAATTCACCATCACAGTAGATAGTCTTGATAGTAAATCGATTGCGTCATACAACGACTCCGCAGTCCTGCTTTGTAGCGGTACAAAAGTTTGGTATCGGACACTACCATCAATTGTAGTCAATCCAAATGTGTTATTGATGAACGCAATATCCAGATGCAAATTCAAATCAATGTTGTGGACCAACAATTCACATGGGATCTCAACCCAATCATCCCAAACTGCTTCCGGGGTAGAACGCTTAGTCTTTCCTTTAAGAACTGAAGCGCTTGGTCCATAAATCTTGTCAGCAATAACAATGTCTTCTTCTCTGATGGGACAATTCTTGAATAAACCTGAGCGTACGGCAACTTTGAATGCTTCAATCCCTGGTGCACCATCCATGTGATACCCGGATCTTGCAGCGTTCGCTTGGTCAACTTGTCGTCAGGTGTAACCCTCTATAAAACTCAGAAATCAAAAATCAAAAACTAAAAGGTAGAAGATTATTTTCCATGGACAGCACCAAAACAAAACTGTACCAGTCCTACGCGTCTTTCTACGTAAAGGAAAACAGTTGTTGTCGCTGAAACAGGAAAGAAATTTACTTTAACATGAAGGATAACATTGTCAACCCGCCGGAGAAGGATCCGAATTGGATCATGACTGTAGCTGACCAAGGTCAGGGAGGTCTTGAGGAAAAAACCCGATCAAAATCGACCACTCAATTGTTGATTGCTCTAACAAAGGATAATCCTGCCATCACGACTCCCAAGCGCAGCAGCAAGTGAAACCCTTCAGAAACCGCCGAGGATGGCGCAATGAAAGGCCGCTTGCTCTTACCATCTGAAGTTCCCCAAGGTCAGGACGTCACGGTCAACACTCGCCCAAATCCGACCACTCCTTTGTCAATTGAGTTAACTAAGGACAGTCCGCGTGATCCCACGACTTCAAAGAGCCAACACAAGCATCCCCCTCCTTCCAAAACCGCCGAGGATGGCGCAGTGCAAGGGGGATCGCTCGTTGCCTACATCACAAAACTCAAGATGTCAAAGTTTCACAGGCTCTACAAGAAGGCTTGGAGACAGGAGATGTTTGCTCTCGCAACGGCCCAACGCGTCATCACTACTGACAAAAAGTCGCCTCGCTTTTGGGAATTTTCGCTTTTGTTCGACCCAGCCAACATTAATTGTTCAACGCGCCGAGCCGTTGACTTGGATGTGGCAAACGGCATTCGTGAGCTCTGCACAAACTGCAGGCTTCACCCGTCGGTCCAATTTCCATGCACACATTGCAATGACTCTGCCCCTCATGGGGATCATAAGTATACAACCCATCCTTTTCTCTGTAAATCCATTGATTCCCATCTTTGGAAACAAAAAATGCATTTTCTACGTCGGTATCCATCACAATACGATACCCTTCTTTTACAAAGAAAGACGCACTGTCCACATCACAGATGGCATCAGCATCATACTTACACATATTATCCATGTGCTTGATCTCAACTTCATGTGTTAGATTCCTTCCTCCTCCAACATTTGTTCCATAATTGAACATACGGAAGCTCTTTCAATGTTCCCATCTTTGCATTCATCGAATCTTTGCAAAGATGAAATGTTGAACCAGTGTCAAGGGACAGACCTGTTGCGCCCAAACAAAACCATTTCGGATCATGCATATCAAAATGCTCCGGAATCTTGCCATCCTTATAATCATTTGAATCAAGATACACCAGATCGCCGCTATCCTTGTACTTGAGTCCCCGATGAGCTTGGGAATGCATCACAGCTACTTCCCTACCAACCTGTACGTTGGAGCTCTGTGTACTTGCAACACTGACATCTTCTTCAGCTGCTCTGACAGCATCCAATTGTACCTGCCAGTTTGCCATTATGTCGTGTGGTGGTGACGTCCCAAATCTTGAAGGTCTTAAAATAGGCTGCGGTTGTCTCTTACGTCCGCCAAACTGAGCCATAGTCCACCACTGAAATGCCAATCTTTTGCTTACGAGGCTGTGGACCACCATTCCTGTCAGCCAAGCCAGTCTGCATATGGTTCTGTTGAGAAATACCACCATCATTGTGAGCGGGCGTACCTGTGGTGTTAGCTGTCACACTTGGCTGCACAGATCCTGTTGGTGTTTGTCTGCAGGTGTACCTGTTTGCGTCCCGATTCATTCCTAGGATACGATCTCCATTTTGTCGGATCTTTCCATTGTTCCTTGGGTTGGAATCGATGTTCATATCGCGGTGCAACATGATCCGCCTTACCACAGCAAAAACATTTACGCTTACTCTCCTTGTTGTAATCCTGTGCAAGGTTAGTACCGTTCTGTGGTGTGTTTGCTTTATCATTTGTGTTGTTGTTGTTGTTGTTATGTTTCGGTGTTGCTGTTTTCTTTACCCGATGATTGTGTAGCGCCTTAGCTGCAGTTTCCACATCTCTTGGGAACAAATCTCGCTGAGCATAATCCACGTGCTCCACAGCATATGCAGTAACAAAATGATCAAGTACCGGCTGGTATCATGTACGATCACAGTTGTGCAATAACCCAGCAGCACAGAACAACTTTACAAACTCTTCCTGAAATTCTTCTTGAAGTGCTTCAACTTCTGCGGCAACTCGCTTCTTTTCTCTATCCGACAAGCCATTAGTCGGATGATTGTTTTTAATTTCATGATATGCAGTAGTCTTCGAGGCAAACACATCTAGCCACGACTCACCCATGAAAGATTATACTGTAGTTGCGCATTCTTCAAATTGTTTACGGTATTCAATCACCGTTTCATTTCCTTCCTGACGACAATTAACCCACTTCTGTAGTGCCTCCCACAATGTAATGGGTTCCAGTCTGTCACATCATTGGCCGTCATAGATTTATTGATGCGTCTCAATAATTCAATAGGATCACCCTCAATTTTCTCATTGTAATCGACCTCCTGTAAAATCTTGTCCTTCATTTTACTGGTAACAAATGACTCCATAATCAGCGAATGAACATGCCACTTTGCTTTGCTCCAGTATCGCTTTTGTCAATGGTATTCGACACTCTCCGTTTTCAATTCTTCTTTCTTTGCCTCTTTCTCAATTTTGTCTTCTAGACCAGTTAAATCCAATTTAGGTTTCAAACCATCCCAGTCTGGCTCATTCAATTCTTTGATGGAAGATATCATAATCTGAGGATACTCCAATCCCTCCATTCCAATTTGTCTGATGAGGCTTCTTGTTACATTGGCATAAGGAAAATCTGGGTTGCTCGGATGATACTTGGGCATTCGTTTTTCTTTCTTTTTTGTGTTCTGTGAATTGCCACTTGTCTGGCAATTTCCACCGAATCAATTGCCGCCGCAAACTCCTCTTGTACTTTGGTTGCGGCGTGTCATTGTCTTTTTTACAGATGGACTTGCTCTACAGACCTGAATGGGAGCCTCAACACCCTGCCTGTTTCAATGAGCAGCCCCTGAGATCAAATCTACATTGGCTATGGTCTGCCTTTGGGCACCAGCGACTCTGGGCCTCAGCCTCTGGAATAAGCAGTAGTCTTATTCAATCAAAGGTCTTACTTTATTATCTCCTATACTTGCTTGGACCTCAACGTCCACAATATTATTCTTGCCAGAACTCAATTGATAGTGAGACTCTTGATTGAAGTTCAAAATCATCTTATAAATTCTAATGATTCTCATTTTTGATCACCTTTCTATGTGATGACGCGTTCTGACATACTGCGTTTCATATTACACATGATCCACACTCACATCACTGCCGCGTCACATCACATAGACCATCGATCAATAATCAACCAATATGATTGTTCAATATATCAATAGGTCCAACACCTACCACCCATGTCCGGGCATTGACAGAGACCTTGACTGATGTCAATCTCCCGACTAAAGCCTTTACACAGATTCTGGAAGAATCTCTGCATAATGGCCTTGGGGGTATATTTAGTCCCTTCAACCCCCATGGTGAATGTAACACACCTGGACAAATGCTTCTTGACTGGTTTTGTCTTCATCCAGATCTCGTTTTTGTGATTTACGCTGCCACACTTGATGACAGTATGCACAGGCTCCTGCTAAGAAAGAAGACAAAAACAAAAGATGGTCTTATTGACCCTGCCAAATATCATACTCAACACCTTCAAGCTCTTGTTGAAGGTTTGACTCTTGACACAGGTAGGGAAGCATTGATTGCAGTTTCATTTGTTAGTAAGAAACAACAGAGGTAAGAACAGCATCACGTCAATTCAGCTTAACACACCTACCAGTGTCTAATATTCGAAAGATAGATTTTTTGAGATGTTACCAGAATGCCTTGGGATGGACATGTCCCATGGAACCAATGCAGAGAAACGCCCCCTCTTCCGTTTAGTGGGCTGGACTGCATCCAACAAAAACATCCCCCTCATGACAGCCTATCTTCCCTCTCTTTGCGAATGGGTGTTCCATTGGCTCTTTGATGATGCCATGCCTACTCTTTTTGGAAAAGAGAATGTTGCTGTTGGGATATGACGAAATATGAGTTTTTACGTTCCGAAAAGAAACTATTCAAGTACGAAGTTTTCGACACGTACGATCGGACTTTGATCGTGATGTCGAGATTCGCCGCAAGTATGCCGGACGCAA